GCTCCTTGGAGGCAAGGATTCTGGGGCTTCGTCTGACATACTTTGGACATGTTGTATGGAGAGACAGGTCTTTAGAGAGGGACATCATGCTGGGGAGAGTGGAGGGACAGCGCAGGAGGGGAAGACCCTCTATGAGGTGGATTGATTCAGTGACTGGGATACTCGGGATGGGTTTGTTAGAGGCAATGAGATTGGCACCGGATAGAGCCTGGTTTGGGGCTGTTGTACATAGGGTCGCTATGAGTCGCAAACGACTCGACGGCACATAACAACAACAACATGTCAGAAGAAGCTTCAGAATCCTTGCCTCCAAGGAGCAGCCTGGTTTACCCCTCTTGAGGATGAACCTGTTTGTTCTCGAGCAGTCCTTGGTGTATTCAGTACTCTTCTCCAACACCACAGCTCAAAGGCATCAATTCCTTCTATCATCCCTAGTCATTATCCAGCCTCTTATGCATAGTAAGATATCTTTCTCCAGAGACTGACCCCTCCTGATAACATGTTCAAAGTGCATCATCATTCTTTTTTTTTCCTCAGGGATATTCTGGCTGACATGCTTGGACAATTAGGAGCATAAAAACAAAAAAGGAAGACACTCAATGAAATGAATTGATTTAGTGACTGGAACAATAGGCTTATGAACAGCAAAGATTGTGAAGATGCACAGAATCAGTGATGGGTTCTTGTTTTTTTTCCTGTGTACTTGGGGTCTGTTGTGAGTTTGAGCTGACTCAATTATCCCTAACAAACACAAAGGAAATTATAAATTGTGTGAAGGGAGAGATCAGACTTGGGTAGGCCAATAACAAAGCTATTGTGTAAGTGCCACTGAAAAAACACGAGAGTTTTACCTGTGGAAATACAGAACCTGTAGAACCTGTGGTCAGAAGGATTTAAATTTATTGACACGGTGTTGTTGTTGTTGATTGCAGTTGAGTCAAGCACCACCCATAGTGACCCTATGAACAAAAAAAGACCTGAAGCCTTTCTGTAACTATCATCATTTATCAAAAGTCATAGTTTCCAGAGGCATGCTGTTTACACTATAGAATTTGACAAAGACTAGGGGTTGTGGTCTCAATATTGCTCTTCTATTCAGAAAATTTTTCAGCATTTGAGTCACTTGCTATTAATTACAGTCAAAGGATTTAGGTTGCCTTCATCTATACGAGATTGATTTTATTGTGTTGTGGACACTGCAAATATTTGAGGAAATTTACGAGGATAGCCTAGAGAAGTTTTCAGAAATGAGAGTTTGTGTGCATTAAATTGCTGTATGGGAAGTCTTAATATACTTTTTTGTTTACTTCCTACCTTGAGGAC